AAAAGCTGGATTCACAATACAGAGCTAATGGTGTAGGCCTCTGGGGTGGGCCAAGAAATTCAGACTGGATGCTTCACTCAAGAGCACTTGGGGGGACACCTGTGGCTCAAGGAGTAGGGCGCTGACCCCATATACCAGAGGTGGTGGGTTCAAACCCGGCCCTGGCCAAAAACTGCAACAACAACAACAACAACAACAAAGCACTTGGGAGATTAATTTAGCAGTGGTGCTTGGAATAGGTTGGGCAAAGAAGGACTAGAAGCAGAGAGACTCATTTAAAGGTTATGGTCTTAGGATTAGGGTGACAGAGAACTGAAGGGGAATGATGATGAGAAAGGAAAGGAAGGGAGGACACGGAAAAATGCTACTAACTGGATGTGGATGTGGGGAAGCTGACCCAGAAGATCACCACAACAGGACAGACAGAAGGAAGGATAGGTGGATGGACTAGTAGGTGGGTAAATAGATGGGTGCATGGGAAGGTGGATGCATGGATGGGTGGGTGAATAGATGGACAGGTAGAGGATGAGTGGATGGGTGGATGCATGGATGGGAGAGTGATGGGTGGTTGGGTAGATGGGTGGAAGGCTTGGTAGGTGGATGGATGGAGCAGGTCTCATAGGTTCCTTGTATTCACTATGACCCAAGCAAGTCACTTTACTTCTCTGTACCTCAAGTAGTTACACAGAGGGGAGAGGGGAGAGAACCCCATCTGATCAGAACTTGTGGACTCTTAAGTGCCCTTACTATGTCCTGAAATTCAGTGGTTTCCAAACTGTCTCTTTTCTTTTTTTTGGCCAGGGCCAGGTTTGAACCCACCACCTCCGGTATATGGGGCTGGTGCCCTACTCCTTTGAGCCATAGGCACTACCCATAAACTGTCTTGATAGTGTGATCTCACCATCAAAAATTGTTTTTCACCATGCATCACTAATGTATGTACATTCTTCCATTATAAATTATACACATATTTTGTTAGAGTTACATATATGTAATAAAACATAGAAAAATAGAAAAATTTGAAATAATTACATAAACATGAATATACATAGAGGTTTAATTTTTTTTGAGACATAGTCTCACTTTATTGCCCTTGGTAGAGTGCAGTAGCATCACAGCTCACAGCAACCTCAAACTCTTGGGCTCAAGCAATTCTCTTGCCTCAGCCTCCTGAGTAGCTGGGACTACAAGCGCCCACCCAACACTTGACTATTTTTAGAGATGAGGTCTTGCTCTGGCTCAGGCTGGTCTTGAACTTGTGAGCTCAGGCAATTCACCCATCTTGACCTCCTAGAGTGGAGGTTTAATTTTCTTATATCCCAAAAAGTGGTCTTGCGCACCCTTCTTTGGAGACCCCAACTCTAACCCACATGCCAGGCTACGCATTGGACCAAACCTCTCTTAGGCCTATGGAACTGGCCCTGGTCCCCTAGTCTTTAACATTTGCCTTCAAAGCTCAGTCTAAAGTCTCCAGCTTCCTCTTGTTACCTTCATTCCACACTCCTGGCCCCTTGTTCCCTTTGCCAGGAGGATACACACAGGCACTTGCAGTCACCTCAGCACTGGGTGGTGAGTGCTAACAAGGAGCACTGGCCCTGAGAGACAGAACCAGCCCTAAGAGTGTGTACCCCCAGGGTCCCTTCAACTCCATGGACAATATTGGGGGCTCCAAGCACAAAGAAGTGACAGTACTCTTCTCTAAGACATGCTTTCCTCCAGGCTGTCAGCTTTCTACACAGGGAATTCCCTATGCCCGGGTTGCTCATTATCCAAATTTTGTGTGTGCACAACCCACAGAGGGCAATCAGGAGTAGGCATTTCGGCCAGTGGAGCAGCTTACACACTTTCCCCTGGAAGGTGAGAATGGATGTAGACTGGGTGCACACTCCAGGCAGCACTGGGGGCTGTGAGTATCCCAAGGCTGAATAGGCATAGTCGCTACCCCTACTGCAGGTCTCTGGTGAACACTGGCTACTCACATCAGGCTCTGGCCACAAGTTATTTTTCACAGCCACCAAAGTCAGACTGGGTCCAGAGCCTAGAGAAATAAGGACAAAAGGACTGGTGTACTGCCTATCTCCCCAACCCTGGCCCGTGAGGCTGGAGGAAGTGGGGAAGTAGTCGAGTTGAGGACCTGTGTGGCCTTGGCAGGATGCACATGGTATTTAGAGCCTTCAGAAATGTGGCCCAAGCAAGGCGGGCTTGTCTGAGGCCAGTTGACTAGGTTGTAGGGCCAGGCAGCCCAGGGCCCAAGGGCCACAACCTGTGGTCTTAGCCCATTTGGTGAAGGCTTGTCCTAGGTTCCTAGAAGCAGCACACCTGAGGCTGTGCTCACTCCTCCTCTCCCCACCCAGCCTCCGGCTTGTCCAGTAGCTATAACCTTCCCACTTTCTCCTTCCAAATCCAGCTCTGAGTTCAATATCTGATAAACTATTGCAGCTTCCTGGGAGACACCTCCCCTACACCCACCTCCAGCCCCCTTCCTCCTGAAAATGTGCCTATTAACAGTAAACAAAACCTTAAACTCAAACCACTAGGGGTGTGATTAACCAAATCCTGGGGGTGGGGTAGGAGTGGTTAGAGGGGATGAGAAAACAGAGATCTCCCTAGCAAGGCTATTTGCAGGTTTTAACAGAGCTGGTTGGTCTATCTAAGGGTCATTGTTTCAGAGGATGTGGGATTCACAGTGGGATGGAGAGGTGCCTTTCCTCTCAATGTAGGGCCTGCTTTCTTTCTTTCTTTCTTTTTTTTTGAGACAGAGTCTCACTTTGCACTTTGTCACCCGGGGTAGAGTGCCCTGGTGTTCTAACTCTTGGGCTCAAGCGATTAGAACCTGCCACAACACCCGGCTATTTTTAGAGACAAGATCTGGCTCTGGCTCAGGATGGTCTGGAACCTGTGAGCTCAGGCAATCCACCCACCTTGGCCTCCCAGAGTGGTAGGAGGGCCTGCTTTCTATTTATTTAATTTATTTTAGAGGCAGAGTCTCACTTTGTCGCCCTCAATAGAGAGCTGTAGCGTCACAGCTCACAGCAACCTCCAACTACTCCTGGGCTTAGGCGATTCTCTTGCCTCAGCCTCCCCAGCAGCTGGGACTATAGGCGCCCGTCACAACGCCTGGCTATTTTTTTGTTGCAGTTTGGCCCGGGCTGGGTTCGAACCCTCCACCCTCGGTATATGGGGCCGTCACCCTACCCAGTGAGCTACAGGCGCAGCCCTACTTATTTATTTACTTGCTTTCTTATGTGCTTTCTTTTTAACACGAGTGCCTTTGCCGAGGGCGCTCTTTCGCTCTTTCGGGGTTTGCTGGGGTGGTGGACTCTGCAGGGCGCCCCTGTTATCTCCGCAGGCGCCGTTCTGCAGCGCGTCCACACGGTGGCGGGCGGGGTCCACAGAAGTTACTGGCTGCCGGGCTGCGGGGTGATGTTTCTCCTCCCGGAGCCACGGACAGGACAGGACTAGTGGGAAACCCGAACTCCTGGAGTGCAAGAGCCTGTCCACGAGTCTGGATAGGCCAAACTAAAACCATCAAAC